GAAATGTAGTTCTATTTTTGTAATCAGATATGTTAGAAACAACAAATGTGTTTTAATGGTACATTAGACTGGATTTTTTCTTATGTTTCTATTACAGATGCAACAGAAATACAGGATCCGGCAATAGTGCGTCGGGCATCTGTAGTGCCTATAATAAAAAAATTGGCGCCAGGAGGCACGTCTAACCGCAGTGGCGTAGCTAGGTAACCAAGGGCCCTGGGGCAAATTAAGAATGGGGCCCCAATGCTATGTATACTGATTAGGTTTACAATTAATGCTTGGTGTAGGTTTGGCTAATAAAACGAAATAGAGAAGATTCAAGGGTTTATTATACAGGGTGTCCCAGAAATAAATGCAAGTATTTTAAGGGTGGTAGATCTCGATAAAAGAACATATTTTCTCTTTACCGTTTTTCAAATAAATCCAAAATAACGGAGTTATTTTACTTTAAAATTAAAAAAAATAATTTTTGCTAAAATTTTGAGAGCCACTGAATATTTTCTGGATTTTCTTTCATGTAAATTTAATGTAATATTTATGTTGCAATATTATCAAGAAATTATGTTTTTTAACTAAAAACTAAAAAAATTTCCAAAAAAATTTTCAAAAAATATTGAATAATTATCAAAAAAAAATTCGCGAAAAAAACCTTATAGGCGTGTCTCTGGGGTTGAACTTTACTACCAGTTAAAATACTTGCACTTATTTCTGGGACACCCTGTATAAAGGTGGGGCCTACCAACTGACTAAATAACAATTATATTTACAATTTTTTCCTAGCTTTAGTTTTCGCAAAAGTATCAATGACTTCGTTTAAATCCAGGCTTGATGCGGGTTTATTTTCAATTGCTATTAGCGATAAATGTAGGAGTCGAGTTTGGCCCATATTATTTCTTAAATAATTTTTAATTTGCTAAATGACCTTTCAGCTGCTGCAGAAGTGACAGATATTGTAAAGAATAATAATATTGTCGCGACCCCGTTTTAGTTACACAATATATTAAATAGTTTACACAATATATTAAATAGAATATATTTTTATAAATATAATATTTGCACAATAAAAATTAAACTAGAACAAGTTGACGATATTGCTGTAAATACTTTCGTTAGGTCGCATTATAGCACTCCATATTTGCTCATTATTTCCTTACATAATTGGTGAACAGTCCATGCTTGAGTTAGTTGAGGCAAAACTAGGTGGTAAATATTAGTAAATTGAAGTGAAAAACTAGGGCCTATTATATCTGAATATTTTCTTTAGAATTCGTCACACTTTTGTAATAAAGTTACTTCATCAACATGTAATAAACATATTGGTGTTAGAAATTCGAATATATGACAGACTGCACTCATACCAATAAAACGTGTATCTAATTGAGATATTACTGTGTGTAGTACATTATTGAAAATCGCAATTTTAAATATTTTTCTCGGTTTGAAAACCGGTGAGGAAATCTATAGATTTGATACGATTTATTGACTTAACGGACATCAATATGAGTGGTAAAATCAAATAAAATTGAACCACTATATTAACCAGTACGGAAAAGTTTATTGACATTGGCTTACTTACTCCTGATACAGCATTAATTTTTTAACCGTTCTCGAAAAAAAAATCTTAACTCGAATTCACAATAAAACGCACATATCACTATCCGTCAAATTGACAACACTGCCAACCTACAGAAAGAATTTAGGGGAATTCTCCTAGGCATAACTTTTTGAATTTCTCTCAACTGAGTTGTCATGATTAAAGTGGGGTTGCAACCTGTCATATTTATTTTGAAAATGGGAGAAATTTCCAAAAGTTCAGTTCGATCAAGATTTCTGGTAAGGATTCGAGGGCCCCCTGAGCTTGAGGGCCCCGGGGCACTGCCCCGCCTAGCCTCTAGGTAGCTACGCCACTGGTCTAACCTGACCGTATTAAAATATGTTAATAAAAACTTGGTAGTCAGTTCTTTTAGTTTCAAAGTAAAGGAATTTTTCCAATTTTTTTTTATCTCAAAAACTGCGACTTTGACTGATTTTGATGTTATTACAAATTTTGTTGGAAATATCTAACCTAATCTTAAATTGAAAACCGCGTTTCGCTAGCTACTGTAATTTTGGAGTTACGATTTTTTAAAATTTTTAATACCCTCCCATTATTATGATTATTATTATCGAAAACTAAAGAGGACTCGGAAAGGAAGGAAACGGAAGCTATATTCTGTATTCAGCACGTTACTTTTACATAAGAATATCAGGAATGGTACCTAGGTTGCTGGGCTCGAGAAAAATTTATTTCCTGCAGACCAGTGTTATTGGACCACCCTCTAGAATAGTTTCGATACAAATGTTTATATAGGGAAGATGTTTCGATATTGATAAGGTACATGCAAGTTGATTTAACCTTTTCGTACCTACGTGTTATAGTCAAAAATCAATTTTCTCTATCAGAAACATTTGTCTATGAATGTATGTTTGTCTATGATGGGGTTTTCACCTATTTTCAAATACTAGCCTAATGATGGTATATAAATAGTATCAACAACTGCAAATGGCAAAAAGGTAATTACAAAATGAAAAATAAAGTTTACTGGCGTCGAAAACATTGGATTTTTATCGCTTAATTTTAGAAAATGTGAGTTACGGCTGATGATTCGACCTACAAATGACCTTAAAGTTATCATAATATCTTCTAGGAAATTGTGTTATTTGTAGTTATTTAGTAAAAAAAACATACAAAGAGAAGTTTTATGATCTGATCGCTGACAGCTAATTAAATTATTATATACCATACGATTGGAAAAATTCGACGTCAGAGATGGCTTGGAAATGAAGATCGCTATCATTTTGTATGAAAAATTATATGGGGTATGCCGTCGATTGTCATATCCAAGCCAACTAGACTCCGTTTTTTTTTCAATCATTTTTATCATCTATTTATTTCATATAATTAGTTATTCATTATACTCCGTAATATTTTTATTCAAAAGATATATTGGAAAAAAATACTTGTTTTGATTTACCCTGTACAGGGTGAGTCTTAAATAAGTGAAAATATGTTTATGGGTAGTATATTTCGACCCCAGAAACACGATTATGAGTTTTTTCGCGAAATATTTTTTGGAAATTGAAAAAAAATGATTTTTTTTAGTTAGGTTAGTTACACACAAGTAGTAGTAGTAGTTAGTAAACACAATTTCTTGATAGAAAAATTCGATGGCAACATAGTATATAAAAACAAATAGAAGGAACATGTAGAAAGAATAATAGATGATAGAATCCCACAAAAAATGCTACGATATCAACCTCCAGGAAGGAGAAGTCTTGGACGACCAATACAGAGATGGTAAAAAGGAACAGGTTTTTAAACCTAAACCGAAAAAGCATACGACGACGACGAATATGGCAACATTTAACAACAACCCAGAAAGGATCCAGTGGTTCTCAAAATTTAAGCAAAAGATCATTTTTTATTGGAAATTTTCAAACTAAAGTAACTCGGTCATTTTGGATTTATTTGAAAAACGGTAAAGAGAAAATTTGTTTCTTTTACCGAGATCTACCCTTGATCTACCAGCCCAGAAATATTTAAAAAATGACAAGAAAAAGAATATTCTTCAAAAGAATATATTTTACAATTTTTAATTTAACGTTGTTATTTTTTTTTTTTGTATTTGTATGTTTTTATTGTTTTAGTGTTAAAATGTTTCTTAAGAGTTCACATCCTTTTAAATAAAAATGTACAGGTTGTACCAAAATATCGACTAAAAAGTAAAAAGTCGACTTGACGAGTACGTCACCGCAAATCGCTCCGCCCACTCATTTTATTGTCTACTTGCAAATTTGTCGAATTTTTATTGATGGGACGCGTCGTCTAATTTTTTATGAAAAACATCGAGAGAATATCGTTTCCCCTCTCACGGATACCCCGTAGCCACAGAAAGGACAGACGTACTGTACACTACTACCAGAGTACTTAAACCTCGTACTCTGCTACTACGTGATAGTACCTACGGTTAGGTACAGTACGTCTGTCCGTTCTGGAGCTACGGGGTATCCGTGAAAGGGGAAACGATATTCTCTCGATGTTTTTCGTAAAAAATTAAACGACGCGTCCCATCAATAAAAATTCGACAAATTTGCAAGTAGCCAGTAAAATGAGTGGGCGGAGCGATTTGCGGTGACGTACTCGTCAAGTCGACGTATAAAATATATTGCTGTTTATTTAAATGTTTTTTGTCCGCATTCCTTTCATAGACACAGATCCACCAGACGAACTGTAGACAGTACAACAAATTACATTTAACAATAATAAAATCTTGGTTGACAACTTAAGGTATGTTGACATTTGCCTGGTTTTGCATTGTTACCTTCTTATTCAATTTTACCTTATTCAATTTTAATTTAAAAATATATGCGTTTTTCCTAAATTACTTAAAATAGACTTGGTCATAATTGTTCAAATTTGGCACGTGTATTCAGCATACACAGAACTTTAAAAAACTATTTACGATTTTGCTGTAAAATTAACATGAGACCCAATATTTGGACAATTCAAAATTTGCATGTGATTTTCTATGTTTCCAACGAGGATGCACCACCCGATATATACAGATTATCTTTAGCATGCCATTGAAGATTATTAATCATGTCTTTGATCATAACAAAAAAAAAGATGCCTAAAGTAGAAATTTACTTTAACGTGGCCTTGGTTTATCCATTTTTTCGCAGTCTGAAAGCTACGAATCTTGGAAGATGTAACAGAATTCTTTAATATTTATGCTACTAGACAATTGATTCACCTTCATCATAAGAGACACTGATGTTCTTGAATGTCAAAGTTCAAATACTACGGATATGTATAAAATGTATTTAAAACTTTATTATTATTTAACTGATCATAAAAAAATTATCAAGTCCATATATTCCCTTATCATAATAGTCTGGATATTATCGACAAAAGAATATTTATATGAGATATTGCGTAATTTGTCATCTACGTTACTTACCATAGAAAACACGCCTGATATGATCCACACCAACAGTGCCACATTAACGCTACCGGTATGCTTCAAAACACCGGAAGGAGATACAAAAATACCGGATCCTATAATACTACCCACAATCACAGTGATACCATTGATAAGCGTCATTTTCGGCTTCAACGTTATCTCCTCTTGGGGAGGTTTGCCATCATCTTCATCCATCACAACCATCTTTTTTAAATACTAAGTTGATATTTTTTTGCTGTATTGTTGTTGTAATAAGCATATTAGGCATTTTGGATTTATTCTATTCTTATTTCTCATACAGTATGATCCAGTGTTCTGGAAAAACTAGGGTTTTTTCAAGTTCTACTCGCCAATATAAACGAAGAAGTCAAAGCAAGAGTAATGATATGTAAAACAAACCCACAGTTCCCAACTGGCAAAGGAGTACGATAGGGAGACGCAATATCCCCAAAGCAGTTTAAAGCAACACTAGAAGAAATATTCCGCCAGCTAGACTGGACCAACAAAGAATTAAAAATAGATGGAGAATATCTTAACCGTCTATAAGTTTCGCTGATGACATAGTGCTAATAGCCAATAGTCCTGAAGAACTACAAACACAAATTATCGAACTAAACAGAGCCAGCAATAAAATAGGTCTCAAAATGTATTTAACAAAAACTAAAGTAATATACAACGAACTAATAGATAGAACAGACATTCTAATAAATAACACAAAACTGGAAAAGTAGAAAAATACATATATTTGGGACAACTAATATACAGCTCGGGATCTTAACTACCAGAAATCAACCAAAGAATTAAGTTAGCATGGAGTACTTATGGAAAAAACTCTTCTTCTTAAGGTACCGTGCAGATTCCTGCGTAGGCGTTCATATTTTTCTTCCTCATCAGATGGTTCTATTAACTGCAGCGACTTGGAGTGCTTGGAAGTCCTGTATGCCTGTCCAATGACGAATATTTCTCAGCCAGGATAGCTTCCTTCTGCCTATTCGCCTTTTGCCCCCCACTATTTTACCCTGGAGAATCAGAATCAGAGTTCTATTAACTGCAGCGACTCGGAGTGCTTGGAAGTCCTGTATGCCTGTCCAATGACGAATATTTCTCAGCCAGGATAACTTCCTTCGGCCTATTCCCCTTTTGCTCCCTCTATTTTCCTTGGAGAATCAGACGCTGAAAGTGATAGCGTTCTCCACGTAGTATGTGTCCCAAATATGCTATTTTCCTCTCCTTGATGATTTCGAAGAGTTCACGTTCTTCTAGTCCAGCTCTTCTGAGAATGTCTTCATTCCTCACACGGTCGACCCAGGGCGCTCTTAGCATTCGTCGTAGGGTCCACATTTCGAAGGCTTCAATTCGGTTTATTGTTGCTACCATCAGTGTCCATGCTTCCACACCATATAACAAAACGGACCAGACATAGCACTTCACCATTCTGTATCTAAGGCCAAAGTTTAAGTTCCTATCTGTGAGAAATCTTCGAAGTTTCAGAAAAGTAGATCTTGCTTGTTCGATCCTGCATTTGATCTCCTGATCTGGTAGACACACGGAGAGTCTTTAGTTTAAAGGGGAAATTAAAAGCAGTTGAAAAAGTGTTAAGTATACTCTTATGCCTTTGTGAGCAGTACTAAGATTTTTTTATTCAAGAAGTTTGATCATATCTTTACTCTACACACTTTCGTTTTGGCACTATTAAATGTTACACTTATATTCCAAATTTCCCATACTTCCAAACCAATTTACCCGTTGCGTATACAATTAGCATGAACTAAAGTCTCTCCAACGAATCAGGGAAGATTTCGACAGATGACATTCAAAAAAATGACAGAAAAATCAATTTGTGATGTATACGATGACACACATTTTAGTTGATGTCATAAGATAATACGTATATATGCCTAAAAATATAAATTCATTATTAGTTTAATATAGTTAATAATAGTGGAGACATTCATAAATCGGTTTTACAAAAACATACATTTATTTTCATGTATGATATGATTGTATAAATTAATAATTTTGTAATTCTGATCGGGAGTTTAACATAATATTTATGTTAATATGGCAGACAACTAATATAATATTGTTTTTATTTTATTTTTTTTTAGTACAAGCAAGGACACTATCTCACTCAGTGACGCAAATACGAAAGGTGTAATGGGGGTAATTACGCCTCCCAGAAAGAAATCTATACTAATATATAAAATCCTTAGTGACTCACTGATTAATCACAATCCTGCTCAAACCACTCAACGTAAGAAGCTCAATTTTGGCATACAGGTTGATTCTAGGGTGTAGAGATTCGATAAGAAAGGACTTTTCGAAATTCCTGTTCCAAGGGGGTGAAACCACCCCTCAAATATTACAATATTTTTTATATAAAAAACGGCCAAGTTTTCGGAAAAGCGCTTAAACACGTATATTTTATTTACGTATTTTAAGATTTTTTTAAAAATGTATGCAGGGTGTTTCGAAAAATCTGGTCATTGATTAATCACGAGCTTAAAGCGCTTGACGTAAAAAGCTTATTTTTGGAAAACGGATTGACTTTAGGGTGTAGAGGTTCGATAAGAAGGCATTTTTCGAAACTCGAATTCTAAGGTGATGAAACCGAAACCACCCCTCAAATACTGATATCGGGAATGGAGAACTAACCTCTATAAAACCGTCTCAGATACTGATTTTTAGCAAAGCTCTGAAACTGTATGATTAATTATAACTCAAGAAACGAAAAAACCTCCAACTTCCCATACCAAGATTACAGTTGAGGGTTGGAACCTTTGGTGTTACACAGCAAAATAAAAACACTAAATCACCACAATACACCAAAACACTTTTACTTTTACACTGGACGCGCGTTTCGCTAACCATGTTAGCATCATCAGCAGATGATTATGAACTATAATCATCTGTCAGTTTATAATCATCTGCTGATGATGCTAACATGGTTAGCGAAACGCGCGTCCAGTGTAAAAGTAAAAGTGTTTTGGTGTATTGTGGTGATTTAGTGTTTTTATTTTGCTTCCCATACCAATCTACAACTACCGCTCCCAGGCTCAATATCTAAACGAGCCACTGATTTAACTCATTTCTTTTGCCTATATAAAGTTTATAATAAACATTTAAATATTAAAAATCATTGTTTAAATCTTCTATTTCCACTAAATATTTATTTTATAACCTTGGGTTTGTTCCTGTTCAAATGACATCACGTCAACGCAATTTCTTTGGCCAAAAATTAAAAATTCAATTTATTTTTTAAATTATCCTCCTAATTAAATCACTACATTTATAATATTGTGTTATAAAATCGATGGCTAGTAATAAAGATCAACATATTTTGTTCGCAGTTTAAAGTCGTTTGTAATTAACTTGTGAAAGAAAGATTAACAAGAAAATGTATTTATATTCAGCCTATGTCATTAATTTTATTTCGAGTTAAAAATAGGATTTATTCGAATAGGAAGCTTTATCACGAGTTTATCTTGATGGAAAATATTCTTTGATAGACCATAATAATATACATATAAGATTGATGTATTTGGTACATAATGACAATGTATTTAGATTAAAGCAGGCCACACACTAGAAGGCATGTTGTACGAGGGTTGTCTTTTATATTTTGCATATACCGTGCTGGCAACTGTTATTTTTGGGTCGGTATTTACATGTGTGGAAGTAAATCACATAGGGATCTTATTAAGTCGGAGTGAGAGAAATGCGACGGTGTGCGGTTGCGGCGTTGCCGGCACGCCTTTCCCTATCAAGTGAAGTTTCCTATCAAACTAAATAAAATCATGTTTATTTATATTAAAAATTAATGTTAATCATGTAGATATGTTTCTAAACGGGAAAACGTCAGTAATCGCGATAATTTAAAAACTCAACTTTTTAACACATAACAAGCCATAACTTAAGAACCACTTTAGATATTGAAACTTTTTTTTATCGTGAAGATCGGATCTTTTACAAGTGTAAATAAGAAAAATTCGATTAGGTTGTTTTTTTTTCATTCAAAAATTTTAAACAACCCATCCATTTACTTTTAGTGCATGGCAATTTTCAGCAATCGTGTAACTTTGTTATTTATAAAGATTTTCACTTGCTGTCTGCGAAGAAAATATAGCAGAAATGTTAAGAAAGTTTTTGAAAAAACTACAATCAATTATTTCTAATAGATTTCGAGATATTGATTTTTAAATTCAGAGTTCTAATAGCGCGACCACTGTCGAACACCAACTCAATTCCACTTATTTTTACCAAAAATTCAAGTGTCGATTCGTTAATAAATAAACAAATAAAGTATCACGAGACGTAATTAAATCGTGAAGCTGAACGCATGATATATAACTTTCCCTAAAACTTTAAGTACTGACAGAAGTACTGATTGGGTTGACCGGTCGATTGCGACAAATATTTGCGTCTAGCCCCAGCAAAGCAACTATTAAGTTTTGGTTAGCGCGGTTATTTGGAGGGTGTTAATTCATTGGTTAGATGGTTATTTGGTGGGGTTGGTTGGTTTTTACTAATTTATATTTGTTCTTTAGATATTCATTGATTTTCTTTATTTGTTTGTAATAAATTATATAGTACGCCAGAGCTGTTCTGCATCCGCTTTTGTCAAAAACTCTAACGTGATTGGTCAAGCTTAATAGTTGCCTTGCTGGGGACACAAGTCGACAAATCTCCTATATCCCCTTCCACGTCTCTTAGAAATGTGCACAGTTTCTCGGTTTATTTCATATGTTTGGCAACGTGTTTACTGTCCTCTCTTTGTTCAGTACATTATAAACGCATTGTACTCTTCTTACATACGGAAATCTGGACCCAAGACTAACCTTTGCCAGCCCTTAGTAGAAACATAGTAGGTGTCAACATATATTAAATATCAAAATTAACTGTCATCTTTAGTTAACTTAACGCCAATAGTTCGCTTCGTTTAAAACTGTACCTAAACTGAATTTTTGAAGTTAAAAAACTCATGCTCGAAAAAAAAACGGCGTCAGCGATGGCTATGAAATAAAGATCGCTGTCATTTTATATGTAAAATTATATGGGGAATGTCATCGATGCTCATTTCCTAGCCAACTAAACGCCGTTTTTTTTTTCGATCATACGGTACATTTGGTTTGGAACTCCGCCATTTTCCGCAACTGACAGCTTACGTCACGCACACTTTTTGTTTAAATGTTTATTTGTAATAATTGATGTCC